TTCCCTTTTTTTATTATATAGACTATTTCAAAAATCTATATACACAATAAGAGACCTTGACACGTGTTTGCCATAAAAGGGAGAGAAGACTTTATGTGTGTGACCAACATGGATAGAATATTTTGTAAAATTTTGTAATGAATATTTCATAAATAAAGGTATATTTAGTTACAGTTTCTCATTTTCTCCATGTATGATGACATTTGGAACACCCTATAATTCATAAGGTCCCTCCGGAAAGAGTCATGATGTTGGTGAGAGTTTTTATTTTAGCATGATAATATATTCTAACTAGGGCATAATGAGCTGCAAGGTCAACGCAGAAGCTAATTTCCTTGCCATCTGGATTTCAACCCATCTTAACTTGTTCTGCCCACATCCTGTTTTTGATCAGCATGGCCAGGGCTTTTGATTCTGAGTTAAGCAGTGCCTGCTGGTTTCTTAGCTCAGTATGACCAACGATTGCACCTTAACCTACCCCCAATCAGGAGTTACTTGATCCAATAATTAGCTGTCTTCTCTTTCTCCTCTTTCTTCTAGTCTGCTTTGAACATCCTTAAATTGTGTTTTCCTTCCTCAACAACCTATTCAAACTAGGTTCACAAGTGTCCCACAAATTTTTCTTAAGGTCCAATCCAATGGTTTGTTCATCTTCTTCCTTGTGAGTTGCTGTTCTGTTTTTTTAATTAATCTTTTCTCCTTGAAAGCTTCTATGGCCTAGCAGTGCACTGACTTTCTTCCTATCTCTCTTGCTATTCTTTCTTCCCCTTCCTTTTTCTTTTTCCTTTGATAGGAAAATGAATAATAATGATGACATGGATGGAACTAGAGGTCCTTATCTTAAAGTGAAACAAATCAGACTCAGAAAGACAAATACCTCATGTTGTCCTTAGATGTGGGAGTTAAGTAATGTGTACAAACAAACACAGAGTGTGGAATAATAGAATATGGAGACTCAAAAGGGTGAGGGTGTGGGGGGAAGGAAGCTGATGAGAAGTTACTTAATAGGTGCAATCTGTGTTATTTGGATGATGGATACCCTAAAAGCCCTGACTTCATCACTATGTGCATATTGCAAAATTACGCTTGTGCCCCATAATTTTATCTAAATAAAATAATAACATCCAACATTTTTCAGAACTCACTATGCACCTTATCTGTATTGACCTATTTAATCCTCACAATAGGCTTATATGATGGGTACTGTTATTACCATCCCCATGTTACAGATGAGAAAACTGGAGCACAGAGAGGTTATATTGTTATCTAAAATCACACAGCTAGTAAATGGCAGAGCCAAGATTTGAACCCAACACTTCTGCCTCCAGATCTTTGCTATAGTACTCTTCCCACACTATTCTGCCTAAGGTCTTCTATTTTTCTACTCCTTCTCCCTATAAGGAATCTCATAATCCCATGACTTCAAACATTGCCTCTATACAGATGGTTCCACAACTCTGAAATACCATCCATCCTTCTGGCTCCAGAATATCAATATCAACAGACACAATATCAATCAAAGCTTAAATTTATTAAGCAACTATTTTAGCTTGGCATCAGCCTAAAACTGCTTTACATTCATTATTGCACAGCACCTCCACGTTACAGATAAGAAATGGCATCACAGAGCAGTTATGTGAATTGCTCAAAGTCTTACAGCTATTTAGTTTGGGAAGCAGGTGATAGACCATAAAATCTATCAAAATAGTCTAGACACAGTGGCTCAAACGTCTAATCCCAGCACTTTGGGAGGCCAAGATAGGAGGATTGCTTGAGAGCAAGAGTTTCAGACCAGTCTGAGCAACATAACAAGACCCCACCTCTGCCAAAAAAATTTAATTAAAAATTAATTAGCCAGACATGGCAATGTGTACCTATACTCTTAACTACTCAGGAGGCAGAGGTGGGATACTTGCTTTAGCCCAGGATTTTTGAGGTTACAGTGAATTATGATTGAACCACTGCATTCTAGTCTGAGTGACAGAGCAAGCCCCTGCCTCTAAATAATCATATGAGCTATACTTGAAGGCAAATGCCATGTCTCTCTGACCTTTGCATTTGCTAACATAGTAGCTTTTAAATATGAGATGTTCAGTGTACATCTATGAAATCAAATGTGAGAGAAGCTTCCATTTTGGAAACTAGAGGCAGAGTTCTAGATACTTGTAAGATGGAGTACTTGTGAATTTCGGTTATCCATGAATCCATCTATGTTCACTGGATGAAACAGGGGTGGGTGATGGAATGAGCATCAGGTCAAGAAGAATAGGATTCTGGTCCAAATGATAATAGAGAGAACTTGCCAAAGAAAGAATTAAAGGTCATTCAAATTGGAAAGGAAGAAGTCAAATTATAATAAGTAGCAGCCAGCATTTATGGAGTGTTTTCTGCCAGATATGTGTTCTACACATTTCCCTCATTTAAGTCATCACCACAACCTCACAAAATAGGTAGTGCCATCATCATGTTTCATATAAGGAAACATAAAGAAGTTAAACAACTTGCCCAAGTTTGGCCAACTGGTGCCTCAACAACTTAACCTCTGGGGACATATTTCCTCATCTGCAAAATGAGTCAGAGGATGATTTCTAAAGTTTCTTAAAACCCTGGGATTCAGTCATGTTGATGACTCTTTGGAAATCCTAACTTAAAATTTGCACCCACATTAATGAACACAGTATTGCTGGTTGGGCTGAAAACTAGGCTTAAGGAAATACGATGGTGCCCAGATTGCCTGAGTTTTAGGTGCTGGGTAACACTATGGTTTACCAGTTGACTCTGTGAGCTAGTCATTATTTGAGTAGGTATAAGGTTTGTATAGCTGCTATACCTATACATTAATGATTATACAAAAATAGGAGGAGGAGGAGAATTTTAAAGAAAACCTGCAAAGACACTGCCATTAAGCCAAGATGAGAATAAACTCATTAGAAGACCAAAAATATTAACCATGCTTTGTGAGTACAGTTGCATAAGTAACTTATCACAAACAGACCTGGTACCTTCTTTGGGGAAAGGTGGGAGAATAAATAAAAGACACACACACACACAGATGTTCGTGTCTTGATCCCTGGAACCTATGACTAATTTACCTTACATGGTAAAAAGGGAGTTTGGAGATATTGAGTAAGTTAATGATCTTGAGATGGGGACAGTTCCTAAATTATCCAAGTGGGCCCAATATAATCACAGAGGTCCTCTTAAGAGGAGGGCAGGAGATCAGAAAGGAGAGATGATGCCATGCTGCTAGATTTAAAGATGCAAGAAGTGGCCAGGCACAGTGATTCATGCCTGTAATCCCAGCAGTTTGGGAGGCCAAGGAGGGAAAATCACTTGATGCCACGAGTTTGATACCTCCCTGGACAACAGAGTGAGACCCCATCTCTACAAAAATATTAAGTTAAAAAAATAGCTGGGTGTGGGGGCATGCACCTGTAGTCCCAATTACTCAGGAAGCTGAGGCAGGAGGATCAGGTGATGCCACTACACTCTATCCTGGATGACAGAGTAAAACTGTATCTCAAAATATGACAATAAAAAAATAAAGATGCAGAAGGGATTCTTAAGCCAAGGGATGTAGGCAGCCTCTAGAAGCTAGAAAAAGCAAGTAAATAGATGTTCCCCTGGAGCTTTCAAAAAAAATCAATCCTGCCATTGTTCTTGACTTTAGCCAAGGACTGATTCCAAGCCTTCTTGCCTTCAGAACTGTGAGAGCAATAAATTGATGTTGCTTTAGCCATTAAGTTCATGCTAATTTTCAAAGGCAGCAATTGAAAACTCATATAGAAAAGTTCAAAAAGAGTTAGTATAGCCCTCTCTGCCAGTCTTCAAGGGCCACAGCTACCCCTAGGGCCTTTTCTCCCAAATCCTGCAATTATTCTGGACTGCTCTAAATGACCAAGTAGTATATCACTCTCTACTGGACTTTGAGACTCCAGTTCAATCTGCTGAGTGGCATCTTCTAGGGGAAAATGCACCACTTCCTCAAGTCACCATCATAATAAACATTCCAATCTACAGTGTCCACAATTTTAAAAGCATGCCTACAGGGCCCTGTGGGATTTCTGAAAGAGAGGCCATGTGCCCTGGGGGTTGAGCAGCTAGAACCTAGAGCCTAGATTTAATCTCAGCTCTGCTACTGAGTGAATGGATCAAGTTATTTAACCTCTCTGTGCCTCCATTATTTACTTTGCAAAATCTGCATGATGCTAATAGTGCGTACCTGCTGATGTTGCAAAGCTGAATTAAGCTCAGGTGCCTAGCATGCTTAGCACCATACCTAGCATACACACATCCTCATGGTTCAGCGGCTAAAATATTACTGTCTGATGCATAAAAAAGGATCTCTAGACAATTCCTGCACCATATGAGTTGTTAGGTATTCTTAACATCATCCTTGAAAATGGCAAATAATTCTAGAAATAAATATTCTAGAACCACCCAGCTGAGCCCTTCCCAGATTCCTGACCCACAGAAATCATAAGAGAATGAAAAGAAGATAAGGCAAAAACAAGTGATCAGAGTGATGTTGGATTTATTAGGAAAGGAAGAGAAGTAAAGATCTATCCATCCAGCATCTTCAGGTCTTTGCAGAAGCAGAAACATGGCTGATGATTCCATAAGATGTTGGGAAGGCTTGGAAAAGAACAAAGAGTACTTTATTGGCCACAGTAAAGACAGCCTGAGCAGACCATTTTTCCAAAAGGTAGAAATAATACCTCCCATCTAAGATATGTTGCTCCCCATAAGGAGGAAGAATTCAATTTGTCTTCACTTGAAGCTAAGTAGGCTTGGAACTTGCTTGTAAACAAGAGAAGATGATGGAAGTGGAGCTTCATGATTGGGTGTTAAGAAGAGATCCAACCTTGTTGGCTGGAACAATCACACTTAGAGGTTAGAGGTGCCATAGACGCAGCCTGCCTGAGGCCACCATGTTAGGAGGAAGCCCAAACTCACCCACACCCATGTGGGACTACATGAAGGAACAAAAATGCCCAGTTATCTCTCAGTTGCTCCAGCCCCAGCCACTGTCTGACTCCAACCATATGAGACCTCTCTAAAACCAAGAGAGAAAACAGAATAAATGTGTTGTTTTAACCCATTACATTTGTGTGATGATTTGTTATGCAGCAATAGCTAACTGACAGACAACACTTGTGGAATTTCCTGGTATCTTTCCTTTATTGTTTCATGTTTCTTCCTTCTGCTTCCCTTCTGTTCCAGGACTCTGCTTTCTGCTGAGCTTGTCTGGAGCTATTACTCAGAAGCCGAAAGGTGAGTGCTCAGAGTCAGAACAAAGACAGTGCAGGCCAATGCTGGACTGGAGGCCACCCACATTCTCAAACAGGCTAGAGAAAATGGCTTATTTTGGGAACAGTACTTGAGGAAAGTTGCTCCTGTGTTTCTTTGTTTAATTGATGACAGGCTGGGCATGGTGGCTCATACCTGTAATCCTAACATCTCAGATTGCTTGAGTCAGAAGTTCAAGCCTGAGCAAGAGTGAGACCCCTTCTCTACTGAAAATAGAAAAATTAGCCAGGCATGGTGGCACATGTCTGTAGTCCCAGCTACTCGGGAGGTTAAGGCAAGAGGATCCCTTGAGCCCAGAAGTTTGAGATTGCTGTGAGCTATGATGCCATGGCACTCTACCCACAGTGACAGAGTGAGGCTCTGTCTCAAAAAACAAAATTATGATAATAATTAATTGATCACAGCTCAGCATCTGTGGCTCAAGCGGCTAAGGCACCAGCCACATACACCTGAGCTGGTGGGTTCAAATCCAGCCCAGGCCCGCCAAACAACAATGACAGCTGCAACCAAAATTAGCCAAGCATTGTGGTGGGCGCCTGTAGTCCCAGCTACTTGGGAGGCAGAGGCAGGAGACTCACTTGAGCCCAGGAGTTAGAGGTTGCTCTGAGCTGTGATGCCATAGCACTCTACCCAGGGTGACTGCTTGAGGCTCTGTCTCAAAAAAATAAAAATAAAAATAAAATAATGGATATGACATCAAATATAGATATCTTTTTATTTATCTTTTCATCTGGTTTTTAATGTGTCTGTTTTTGCTAAACACCATGGGCATGATGTATAAATAAAGCATTAAATAAAAACACAAAGTCTCATAAAGTAAGCATCCTACTAAAGAGAGACAACACAACAATTATCTTTATCATTCTGATCATAAGCAAGTCAATGAATAATGAAGAGATAGTTTCTGTTTAACTTTACTCTCCTGGCTAGGACTTCCACTAAATTCAGATTCTAGGTCTAAGTGGAGACTAAAAGTCTGGGGGGTTTGTTTGTTTGTTATTGTTCTTTGGGGGGTTTGGGGAGTCTTTTTCTTTTCTTTCTTTCTATCTTTTTTTTTTTTTGACTTAAAATAACAGAAATTTATTCTCTCACAGCTCTGGAAACCAGAATTCCAAAATAGGGCCCTAAGATTCCAGGGGAGGACGCTTCCTAGCTTCTTATAGTTACTGGCAATCCTTAGTGTTCTTTAGCATATCTAGGCATCAATCTCTGCCTCTATCATTACACGATGTTCTCTCTGTATATATCTGTGTCCAGATTTCCCCTTTCCTATAGGTCCTACCCTAATCCAGTATGACCTCATCCTAACTCAGTTACAAGACCCTATTTCCAAATAAAATCACACTCTGAGGTTCAGGGTGTACAAGAATTTTGGAAGGAAACTATTTAAACCAGCATACACAATATGATAAGGTATTAAATCCTGGTAAAGATTAAGAGTGGACTTTCAGACCTGCCCTCGGAAGAATCTGGGAAAGAAGGGAAGGGATGAAACAGAATGAGTTACAGAAGACTCAAGAGAATTGTGCATATATAGTGAGTGACTACTTTGTCTCACCAAGTACAATATCACATCTTCTGAGCAGACTCTCTTGCTCAGCTCTGAAGTTAAAAATTGGAAGCAGAGGCAGAGGCAGGAAGATTGCTTGAAGTCAGAAGTCTGAGGCCAGCCTGGGCAACATAGCAAGACCCCATCTCTTTTAAAAAAATTTTTTTTCAATTAGCTGTGCATAGCAGTCCATGCCTGTAGTCTCAGCTACTAGCTACTCAGGATGCTGAGGTGGAGGACCACTTATGCCCAGAATGCAAGGCTATAATAAGCTATGATGATGCCACTGCACTCCAGCCTAGACAACAGAGCAAGAACCTATTGCTAAGGGCAAAAAAAGGGACACCTAGGGTTCAGCTATAAGATGGGGGCGAGAGGTGGGGATAGATAGATAAACCAGCAGCTGAATCTTGTGGGCTTGAGGGCTAGGTCCCAATCCATTTATGGGTAGAATGGGGCACATCAGTATAGTTGACACCTCACTATATATTCTTCAGTAATTTCCCATGTAGCAAGACCCGAGAGTCTACAATTCTAGCCAAACTGCCAGGGGGATAAATTCTGGGTATCAAGGCTCTGCTTAGAGCTCCCACATCATGTTCCCCAGACATTAGACACTCCTCATTGACCCTGCAGCACCCCTCAGCCACATTCATTCCATTCCTTCCTAAGGGACCTCACATTAAGGCCTTTTTTTTTTTTTTTGAGATAGAGTCTCACTTGGTCATGAAGCTATGCACAGAGTTATAAAAAATACCTTAACATGAGAGTGAGACAGAGAATATTTATCGCATTATTGGTTAATGGTGGTATAAATTGTTTGTTATTTTTTAAGAAACAGGATCTTGCTCTGTCTCCCAGGTTGGAATGCAGTGGCCTGATCATAGATGACTCTAGCCTCTAACTCCTGGGCTCAAGCAAACCTCCCACCTCAGCCTCCTGAGTAACTGTCCATGCCACCAAGCATGGTTATTTTTTTTTTTTTATCAAGACAGAGTTCTACCCTATGCCCTGAGCATAGTGCAATGGCACCGTAGCTCACTGCAATCTCAGACTCGGTCTGTGGGCATCCTGCTGCCTCAGCTTCCAAAGCCACTGGGACTACAGGCACTCGCCATGGCACCTGGCTGGGTTTTTCAATCTTTTTTCATGAGTCAGGGTCTCACTCTCACTCAGACAAGCCTTCAACTCCTGAGCTCAACCAATCCTCCTGCTTCAGCCTTCCACAGTGCTGGGATTACAGGCGTGAGCCACCGTGCCTGGCCAAGCATAGCTAATTTTTTTTTAATTTTTTTGTAGACACAGGTCTCTCTCCACTGCCCAGGCAAGAGTACAGTGGCCCCATCATAGCTCACTGCATCCTCAAACTCTTGAGCTCAAGCCAACCTCCCACCATGGCTTCCCAAAGTGCTAGAATTATAGACATTGTGCCCAGCCTGTACAATTTTTTTTTATTTTATTTTATTAAGTCAAATACACATAGATCATGAATACATTCATCCATATGAGAGTGACTTTGAAAATACCATCAATATTTAAAGGTATCTACCCTTTCACTAATTATAAATCTAAGAACTATCTAAAAATAAGATTCCAAATGTTCCCAAAGACTTGCATGCGAGTCTGCCGTTGTTCCCTTGTTGCAGTAAAATAACGAGGTCTGCTCATCCTCAGGAGGGAATAATGTGAGGCTTCAGGCACAATGGCTCACACCTGTAATCCCAGTGCTCTAGGAGGCCAAGGCGGGTGGATTGTCAGAGCTCAGGAGTTCAAGACCAGCCTAAGTAAGAGCGAGACCTCTGTCTCTAAAAACAGCCAGGTGTTCTGGTAATTGACTGTAGTCCCAGCAACTTGGGAGGCTGAGGCAAAAGGATCACTTGATTCCAAAAGTTTGAGATTGCTGTAAGCTATGATACCATGGCACTCTACCAAGGGCAACAAAACAAGACCCTATATCAAAAAATAAAATGAGGCTTGGTGCCCATGTGCAGTAGCTAAGGTGCCGGCTACATACACCAGGGCCAGCCCAGGCCTGTTAAACAACAATGACAACTACAACAACAACAAAAAAAAATAGCCGGGCGTTTTGGCGGGAACCTGTAGTACAAGCTACTTGGGAGGCTGAGGCAAGAGAATCACTTAAGCCCAGGAGTCTGAGGTTGCTATGAGCTGTGACACCACTGCACTCTATGGAGGGTGACATAGTGAGACTCTGTCTCAAAAAATAAAAAATATATACTGAAATAAAATAAAATAAAATGCCAAGCCAGGCATGGTGGCTCATACCTTAAGTTTCAGCACTTTAGGAGGCCAAGCAGGAGGCCAGGAGTTCAAGACCAAACTGAACAACACAGTGAGACCCTGTTTCTACAAAAATATTTAAAATTAGCCTGGTATGGTGGCTTATGCCTATAGTGTCACCTATTTGGGAGACTGAGGCAGGAGGATCGCTTGAGTCTAGGAGTTTGAGGTTGCAGTGACCTACAATGATGCGACAGTACTCTACCCACGGAACAAAGCAAGGTCTTGTCTCTAAATAAGTAAATAAATAGGTTGCTCCATGTGTGAAGCCATGGAAAAGTCTCTCAGACAAATTTTTACATGAAAACCAAAGACCAGAATGAAGCATGTAATTCTTTACACAACAGGAACATATTCCCGTTGTGTAAAGAAAAAAGGACATGCTTATATTTGTATATGCATTCCTATTGTGTGGAGAAATATATAATAAGTCATTTACAGGTTACAATCTAGGATGATAAGAGACTTCCTGTTTGATCTTTTTCAAATCTGTGTGAAGGAGGCACCTGTGAGAAATACTTTGGCAATAAGGGATTGGGGAAGGGATTTAACATCATTGGCTCTCATTAGTGAGACACACAAGAGTACAAAAGTATGTACGTCCTTGGTTAGCAGTCTCCACACCTGTGGCGTAGGTGGCCTCTGGATTACTTCTATAAGTAGTTTCAGGAGAAGTTAGCCAGGGCTGGTTTTTTGGCTCAGCTTCTTGCTCAGAGGATGCCTGCTCGGCGCTCCCCTACTAAGACTGCTGCTGAGAGATCGCTGCTGAGATCCTCACTCCTACTAATATTGACTGTGACTTCTAAGGTGCTTCAGCACCTGAGACCTGAACAAAACCTACCCTGAGTAAGCAGGCGCAGCAGCTGGAGTTCAGACAGTTGAGTGGGCTGGAGCCAGGGCCAGAGACCTAAGGTCCCAGCTCCAGTGAGGCCCTGGATCAGGGCCGGAGACATGGCGTCACGGGCCAGACATCTGTGAATGTATTATTTTCATTAAAAAGAAAAAACTTTGGGGAAAATGACCTTATATGTACCATTATCAGAATCCACCTCCTATGGGACACTACAAATTCAAATTTTTATAATCCTAACTAACTCTTCTTCCATGCCAAGAACTTCCTAAAGTACTTTATTAATATGTATTAATTCACTTAATAACTCACTTTACAGATGAAGAAATTGAGGCACAGATAGGTTAAGTGACTTGCCCAAGGACACACAGCTAGTAAGTGGAGGAGCCAGAGTTAAAAGCAAGGTCCAAGGTCTTAACCAACTACTCTTTTTCATTAATTCTGAAATGATCTTGAAAATAGCACAGTTGGCTCCGCGCCTGTGGCTCAAGCAGCTAAGGCGCCAGCCACATACACCTAAGGTGGCGGGTTCGAATCCCCAGCCCGGGCCCGCCAAACAACAATGATGGCTGCAACCAAAAAATGGCCGGGCGTTGTGGCGGGCGCCTATAGTCCCAGCTACTTGGGAGGCAGAGGCAGGAGACTCACTTGAGCCCAGGAGTTGGAGGTTGCTGTGAGTGTGATGCCATGGCACTCTACCCAGGGGGACAGCTTGAGGCTCCGTCCCACCCCCCCAAAAAAAAAGAAAGAAAATAGCACAGTTATACTGCCTTGAATATTCTTGTGTTAAAATTAGTTTGTTCAACACCAACCTCAGTCCTTTATCAGGCACAGGAATTCCACTTCTTTCTGTAACTTGGGTTTGGCATCTCTAATTTTTTAATGTACTGAGATCTCACAAAGGGAAGAAGTTCAGGCCTCCTCGTCCTCAAGAACCCCTGCCCAGAGGGGAAGCCTGATGATGACAGAGTTTGTCACCCTGATGATATTTGATTTCCTCTCTTCTCCCTGCAGCTACCTGTCCTCCCTGCCCCCCAAATGCTTCTTGTGTGAATGGCACTTACTGTACCTGTGACCCTGGATATGTTTCTGAATCTGGGCAGAAATTCTTCACCTTCCCCTTGGAAATATGCACAGGTAAAGGAGGGAGTTTTAAGTCACCCGGAAGCAGGAGTGAAAAGGAGACAGAACGAAAGCTGTCTTAGTTCACTTTGGGTCACTATAACAGCATACCTGAGACTGGGTAATTTCCAAAGAAGAGAGATTTATTTGGCTTATGAGTCTGGTGGTTGGACAGTTCAAGATTGGACAGCTGCACCTGGGGAGAGACTTGGGCTGCTTCAACCCATGCTGGAAAGCACAAGGTGAGCAGACATACACAGAGATCATATGGCGAGACAGGAAGCAAGAGACAGAAACCCAGGAAACAGATTCTTTTTAACAACCTTCTCTCTCAGGAACTGATCCATTCTCCCCTATAGGAGAGCAAGTATTTCCCCCTATAGGAGAACATTCATCTGAGGGATTCATCTGATGACCCAAACATCTTCCACTAGGCCCCACCTCCCAGTACTACCACATTCACCATCACATTTCCACATAAGGCTGGGTGCAATGGTTCATGCCTGTAATCCTAGCACTTTGAGAGGCGGAGGCAGGAGAATCGCTTAAGGCCATAAGTTTGAGGTTGCACTGAGCTACGATGATGCTACTACACTCCAGCCTGGGCAAGACCTTATCTCAAAAAATAATAATAATAATAATAATTCAACCTGAGTTTGGGTAGGGACAACCCACCAAATCATCACAAGTGCTGTTGGGAAAGGAAATGCCATGCTGAAAACTCTACCGACTCTGCCTTCACCAAGACAGAAATGCTTTCATAATGTCAGAAAAAATAGGTCTCAATTTTGTCCTCAACAACCTGGGGACCATGACTCTGACTTCATGAGGGTGGCAGGCAAATTGAATAAGGTAATAAAAAGGACAAGACTTCATGAATTGGAATTGAAATCAGGACCATTCTATCTTTCTCCCTTTAGATAACCATTATTCCCATGTACTGAATGTTCAAATTTGTTTCTCATAAGTCTGTACTGTCACCTCTCACATATCAAATTTTCATACAAGTGTAGATCTGTTTTTAGGAATATTTTTCCCATTTCCACTTACAGGTGCTTATTTTGAGGGGGAAATGCTATTAAATATCGTATATTTACCTTATACCCAGACATCTTACTAAATATCTTTATTAATTCTGGCTCTATAGTTTTTAACTAGCATTATCTAGATTGACTGAATATACACTCATTAGCTTTCGAAAGTATTTTGTCTGTTTTTCCACCTTCGCACTATTTATTTCATTTTCTTATCTTACTACATTTATTATAAACTTTAGGAAAATGTTAAATAATATTGATGCTAGTAATCATCTCTGTCTAGTATGTATAGGTAGGGAGAGACAGAAAGAAAAGCCACATTCAAAATCCTAGAACATTTTCATCCTATTCTAAAATATTTTATTAATGCATGGAGCCCAACATGCCTTAGAAGTCAGAAATATATCCCAACTCAGGCTGAGATTACTTCACACAGATTATATAAGTTCCCGTCCTCTCCCAATCCTTTCTCTATCCTCGCCTGACAAGTTGATCATCTGCATGTTATAATTCTGTGAAACAGCATCAGAAGAAATAAGACAAGGCAGTTTGCAACCTTCATCCTTTGGTGAAGACCCTCGGGTTCTCCACTCATGATAACATGAGTGTTCTTGTTACCACAAAATTTATGTCTTAAAAGCACCATTTCACTTTGCTCACAATTTTGTTGTCAGGAGTTCTAGAAGGACTTAGCAAGAGGTGTTGTATCTGAGCCACACAACTGAGACTGCCAAGATAGCTAATTCCCTCACATGTTTGACACCTTCATGTTCCTCCCTCTCATCTTCCTCCCACTGGCATCCATCCTCCAATATGTCTCCACATGACTTGGTGGTCTCAGGGACCCACACTTATTACATGATGGATATTTAGTTTCCTAGGGCTGCCATAACATGAGATGAATCACAACTATAGCCCAGGATGAAGGAGGGAAGGGAAAGGAGGGTGGTGGTTTGATAGAGGGAGGGTTAATGGTGGGACCACATCTATGGAGCATATTGAAGAGTACAAGTCAAATCTATCAAGTATTGAACACAAATGTCTTAACACTGTGATTAAGTAAATGATGTGAAAGCTATGTTAATTAGTAGGATGTAAGCACTCCAATTTGTACAAATAATCAACACATTGAATCCCACAAAGGCAAAAAGAAGAACACAAATTTACTGTGTCACAATTTTAGAGACAAGAAGTCTAAAATAAAAGTGTCAGCAAGAGCCAAACTCCTCCTGAAGTTTCTAGGGGAAAATCCATCCTTGCCTATTTCAGCTTCTGGTGGTGACCATCCTTGATCAATCCTTGGCATTGATTGGCTTGCAACCACCTTACTCCAATTTCTGCCTCCTTTATAACATGGTGTTCTGCCTGTGCATGTCTGTTTTCCCATGGCATTTTTCTTTTCTTAGAAGGACATCAGTAGTATTGGATTATTCCCCACTCTAATTACCTCACATTAATTTGATTACCTCTGTAGAGACTCTGTATCCAAATAAGGTCACCTTCACAAGTAACAAGGGTTAGGAGTTCAAAGTGTCTTTGAGGGGAACATAATTCCATCCACAACAAATAGCTTCCAAGGGAGCAAGGTTGAAGATGCTAGACCACTGAAAGTCCAGCCCTAAAACTGGCATGAAGTCATTTCCAAAGCACTTTATTGGTCAAAAAGGCACAGGCCAGCCCAGTTTCAAGGGAAGAGGAACTTGTAGCCATCTTTAATCTACTCTAACCACAGAGACAAAAATGTGGGAAAAAATACAGTCACCAAAGGAGACAGCTAGAGAAAGAAAGTCAGAAACCAAATGTTTCTGGAACCCCCTCACAGCAACCCCCTCCTCACTCAGCTGGAATTTTTCAAGGCCAGTGTCCCTGGGAAACATCTAAACAAGCAATTTCCTATCCTGGTCCTGGTCAGCACTAGACATAAGCCCTTGGTGTGAAGATCAGCACCCCTGTGGAAGGGAATAATTATGACATTAGTCCAGGGCAGAAAGATCAGTCACTCTGCAAAGAGAATGATTCCCCTCACCCTTCAACCTTCTCCTGCATCCCATTATACTGACAAGATTATAAAAGCCTCTTGAAACTGTGTGACAGGGAGCTGGCTCCTGGTCAGACTCCTCTGTGCTCTCCTCATTGCTAATAAAGCCTTTCCAATCTCACTGAAAGGAATAACATTTTATGCTTTCAGAAATATAAATTAGACATCATCTACCTCCATGATATCTTATATGTATCCCTTACAATTCATTCTTTTGCAAGAAACCAAACTAAAAATAGCCAGGTGTTGTGGCAGACACCTATAGTCCCAGCTACTTGGGAGGCTGAGGCGAGAAAATTGCTTAAGCCCAAGAGTTTGAGGTTGCTGTGAGCTATGATGCCATGGCACTCTACCAAGGTGGGCAAAGTGAGACTCTGTCTCAAATAATAAATAAATAAATAAATGGATTAGTTGTATTATATGTGAATTATATTTCAATAAAACTGTTAAAATAAAATGCCAACAATAAACCTATTACATGTTCACAAAAAAAAAAAAAAAAACGTCTACAGCCTTCCACCAAAGTGAGACTCTGTCTCAAATAATAAATAAATAA